TGAGGCCGGAGCTGAGGGTGAGGAGGGGGCCTTGACAGAGGCCACACTCCAGGCTGACCTGGACAGGAGGGGCTGGGCATGAGCACTGGTCTGGGGCTCCCCACAGTGGAGCTGGAGGGACAGAGATTGCCCCAAGGGCTCCAGCCCCGCCACCTTCTCACTTGGGAGTGGTGCTGCCCTTCCCCTCAGCTCCAAGTGGGCTTATAAATAGATGAGCTTCCCCTCCCTCCCCACCCCCGACCTGCACAGCTACAAAATAAGGATCTTCACAAAAATAGCTTGAGCTGAAAGGAGAAGAGGCTGGCCTGTGCACTGGGCCCTGCACCCACCTCCTGCCTGAGGGGTGACTCCTCTGTTCCCCTGGAGGTGTCCGAGGAAGCAGAGCTCAGGAGGGGTTGCCCCTCTTTAGAGAGCCCTGACTCCTGGCCCCAGTCAGCCCAGCCCTTCCATCCCCCCCCCCTTGGCCCATGGCCCACACCAGCCTCTGACCCCTAGGAGATCGTGGACTGGTTCAACGCGCTCCGAGCTGCCCGCTTCCACTACCTGCAGGTGGCGTTTCCTGGGGCAAGTGACGCAGACGTGAGTGGCTGCCCGTGGCAGGGGGACATGGGGAGATAGACCTCAGCCGTGTGCCTGCCCCCTAGTCTGGGATGACTTTGAGCCCTGTGGTGGGTCAGGGGACTGGCTGAGGGCCTGCCCTAAAGTTTCCCTCTCCTGCCCTGTTCTGGGGGACTTTAGCTCAGCTGCAGCAGACAGGGAGGGGGAAAGGGGTAGGGTAGGGTGGCCAGCTTGGACCCATCCTCCTGCCTGGAGGGCCCTTGGGGTGGGGGTTGAGCCAGCTCCTGAGGGACCAGTCTCCCTCTGCCCCCCCATACACACACGTTTTTCACCCCAGCTGGTGCCGAAGCTCTCCAGGAACTACCTGAAGGAAGGCTACATGGAGAAGACGGGGCCCAAGGTGGGTGTACAGGGCATGCGAGGCCCAGGCCTCACTCCCAGCTCAGCCTGTTTCTTGCTAGTTCTGTTGCCTGGGCCCAGGCTGCCAGGGCAGGAAGTGGGGTATGTCACAGAGGGTCTTGGGCCGAAGCACCGGCGACTCTCCCTAGTGCTGAGTGCGACTCTTCCTAAGCTTGTCATCTTGTTATGGGCGGCCCTAAGACCTGTAACAGCAGGTCAGCTACTGGTCCTCATGGCCCCTCGTCTGTGCCCAGCTGGGATCTCAGATGACCTAGGACCAGGGTCCTGGGCTTTGGGTCTGGCCCCCACCTCCTACACCTCTTTAACGGACCCGTGTGCCTGCGTGGGCTAGGCCACATCATGCCACCATGCCATTCCCTACTGTGTGTTGGGGGAGACAGGAATCCCAGGTCCCTGGGCGGTGGGAAGTGCAGGTGCAGAGGGGCCTGTGACTGAGGCCTGGACCCCCACCTGGGGCCCACCAGGAAGGCTGGAGACACGGGATTGAGGGGCGGTGGTGCTGGTGTGGAGAGGAGGGAAGGGCGTGCAGGTGGGAGAACAGCGCGTGCACATGCCCATCCTGCACTGGTGTGGACAGAGCAGGACCAGCGGGGCCCAAAAGGCCCAAAAGAGCTCGCACACCTTGCCCTGGTGGGACAGCTGAGGGCAGGGCCCTGCTGGTCACTGGCCTTCTCTGACCCACAGCAAACAGAAGGCTTCCGGAAGCGCTGGTTCACCATGGATGACCGGAGGCTGATGTACTTCAAAGACCCCTTGGTAAGGAAGGGCTGTAGCCACTCTGGGGAGTGGTTCAGCCAGCCCCACCTGCCCTGTCACCTGTGGGAGAACTGGTACCTTGCTGGAGGTGGAGGGGCTTCATCCCCTACACTGCCTGGGCCTGGCCTGGCTCTGAGCACAGCTGGGCTTGGAGAGCTGCCCTGTGCCTGGGACCTGCCCCCATCTCCAGCTTGGTCCCACAGGACGCCTTTGCCCGAGGTGAAGTCTTCATTGGCAGCAAGGAGAGTGGCTACAAGGTGCTGGATGGGCTCCCGCCATCCACCCAGGGCTACCACTGGCCACATGGCATCACCATCGTCACGCCTGACCGAAAGTTCTTGTTCACCTGCGAGACAGAGTCGGACCAGCGGGAGTGGGTGGCAGCATTTCAGAAGGTGGTGGACAGGCCCATGCTGCCCCAGGAGTATGCAGGTGAGGGCAAAGAGGCAGCAGGGGCCTGCCTGTGGGCAGCCTGGGCTCCCTGTGCAGTGTGACAAGCCTGGTGCTGTCCCACTTGCAGTGGAAGCCCATTTCAAGCACAAACCCTAGCAAGAGGAGGTCTGGAGGCCCTAGACACCGGATTCACTGCAACGTGGCCAAGCCGGCAATGAGGTGGCCAGACCATAGGAGCATCCTGAGGCGGCCAGCTGTCCTAGACCCCATGCTCCTGGGGCAGCCCTGGGCATGGCCAGGTAGGGCCTGGGCTGTAGTCACTAGGACCGTTTTCTCTGGAACCTCATCACAGGACCTCTGACCCCTCATGCTGCTGTGACCACACCCAGCCCCTGAGCCCCCTGCCTGAGGGCCGGGCGGCTTCCCAGCTAGAGGCAGGGCCCCCCCTAGGTCCCTGCCACCCGCCTTGCCTGAGGGAACTTCTAGGCCCCATAGCGGGACCCCCAAGACCAGCCCAGGGCTGCTGTGGTCAGCGGGCAGTGGCGCTGGCGTGGCCACTGGGACCTGCTGCATGCTGACCCTGCCCCGGGCCCTCCTCCCCACTCCCTCTCAGCTAGTATTTATTGAGCATCGACGGGCCGGGGTCAGGGTGGAGGTGCACAGCCCTTACCTGCAAGGAGCTGACCCTGCAGGCGCTGCTGGGGGCAGTTTTCCAGGCAGAGCAAACGGTGCGCACAGATCCTAGCAACCCAGCAGCTGGAGCTCCCGTGCTCCTGGCCCTCAGGGTCAGCCAGGCGCTACTAGGCTGCTGCAGCTGCCCCCTTGCTCGCTGGGCATCTCTACCTGTCCAGCTTGGTGCTCGCTGACCAGCGACCGCTGCCCACCAGCCCTGACCTTGCAGCCTTTGAACCCTTTGAGGATGGCAGCCTGAGTTGCTGGCGGCCAGTAGTCTAAGGCCTTGTATTTATTTCCCACCCAACCTCCTGTGCCGAGTCCCACAGTACAGGACCTCACTGGGCTCCCCATGTATGGGAGTCGTGCAAGTCGTGCAGGACAGATCCTGGCCATCTGTGGAGGCCAGGTGGGGTGTGTAGGTGGGGACACCCCTGCGGTGACCTGGTGGCCTAGCACCCCCAGCCCAGCTGAACTGTACCCCAGGGGAGCCCTGGACAAGCGGGAGGGTTCCTAAGGCCGGGATCCTGCCGCCCCCATTGCAGCCTGGAATAAAGTGTGGCTCTGGCGTGTCCCCAGCTGTGTGTCCAATGCTGGGGTAGGGAGGGGACTGAGCTGGGAACACATAGCCCTGCCCCAGCAGCCTCCACCTGGGCAGAGACAGAAACAGGAGAAAGCCCCGTGTCAGCTCTGAGGGGCAGCGCCACACGGGGTGCTTGGTGCCCCTCCAGGGGCCTTGTGCTGCCTGCTGGTCCAAGGCACTGAGTCCAGGTTTGTGGTGCACCTGAGCTCGTCATGCAGAGAGGGTATGTGGCTTCCCATCCCAGACACAGGCCCCCTCCCCAGGGCCCACACCTGCCCCTACAGTGGCTGTGGGCCCCAGGGCCCGGAACCCTCACCTCACCTCCACCTGGCCTAGAGGACTAGCCCTGCCCATCGCTGAGGGCTCTGGTGCAGCCTCACGTCCTCCCACAGAACGTGCTGAACCTCACTTCTCAAGTGGGGACCCAGCAGGCCTCCCAACCCCAGCCTGGGGGTCCCTAGGGCAGGTGGTCCCTAGTGCTGAGGACACAGGCAGGGTCCCTGACACCCTGAAGGAGATGGGGCCAGGTGCCACTATCCACTACTGCTCTTGGATGGTGAGGCAAACAGTCGGTCCTGGGTCAAACATGAGGACCTGGGGTGCCCCTGGATCTACCCCACTGCATGGGGTCAGCCCTGACCACAGCCCTCTTGGGCTGATCTAGACCCTTCCTCCTCCACGGAAATGTGGGCATGTGCCCTGCATGTGTATATGAGGGTATGTACCATGCATTCTACCAAGGACAATGACAATCTTAACATTTTAAAAAAGAAACCACAAAACTACTTTCTAATTGGAAGGAAAGAACTCTTTCAAACACAGCAGGAAACTCACAACCCATAAAAGGTCAGTCACTTGGATTATGTGAAGACCCTTGGCAGGGACCAGCACAGAACTAGCTAGGCTGCTGGTGGTGTCAGGGCCACTGCCAGGTGTGCTCGCTGTCCAGCACCGCTGCCTGGACCACGGGGCTTCAGGGATACCAGCCCGTGCTGCTGGCGTCTCCTGAGTTAGATGATCACAAACATGCAGGTGCCACAGCACGTGTCATGTAGGGAGGAGGATTACCTAGGTGTGTGGTTGCAAGTGTCCTGCACGGCTCTGACCAGCTAGCTGGCTTTTTCTGTGTTTATCTAGTGTTAATCCTGAGCAAAACCGCATGTCCCCCACACTGCTCAAACTGTTCCTGAATACCAATCGTGTTGGATCAAACATGGTTTCTAAACATGAAGAACATGGGGGCAGTGCTGTCCCTTCTGAGAACTCCCTGGGTGACTACAGTGGGGTGAGGGGACTCAGTGCAAAAGTGCAACCCACCCCTCTGCAACTCAAGGGCCAGCTCTTTGAAACTGGGATACCCATAGCTGGAGGATTTGATTTTTTTCAAATTTCAACCCAATTAAACATGTATTCCTAACACCACAGCCAGGTGAGTCACAGGCACCCCCAACACGGGCTTCGTGTCCCTCTGCCCACACCCAGTAGTCTGGACAAACCCAGGACACCCCCACACCCTGCAGCCCGGCCCTGCCTGAGGCCCCCATGCCGGCATTCAGGGGTTGGCCCAAGACCCACAGGGCAGCCCCAGAGCTATTCAGAAAGGACCAGTGCTGCAAAGCCCAGTATAAAGGATTTATTTATGCTCCACAGTTGACACAAACCTTCCTTTAAATTTCATTTTTACAGTGAATAAAGTTGCATGTCTCCCTCCTGCCCACGCACGATCACTGCATATTAATCTACAACTTTCACTTTAATCGTGAAAAAATAAAATGTTTCCCCTTTTATAATTATACTGATAACGTCTGGAATGGCATCAGTGATAAAGGACAGTCTGCCAACTCCTGGACTGGTTATTTGGTTAAAACCTATTAGGTCCAAGGATCAACCACCCGGTACAAATAAATATTGCATTATGAAAGACGGACAGTCCCGTGGTGTCCCTTTTTATAAAACAGCATTTCCAGAGCAGCAGCTTGGTGCTCACAGAGACCAGCAGGGTGTGGCTTTGGGGTCCATACCAAGTCACCTCAGGCCACACCAGACCCCAGTGGGCAGGGTCACAGCTAAGTACCACGCAGACACCTGCCTGGCCAGCGCTCGCCCACCTCCCAAGAGCATGAGGATGATGGCATGGCACGCACACACTCTGTCTGTGACCAGGACAAACACATCGTGATTACAGAGCCACCCGTGTTCAAACAAAAACAAGATAAAACTGCTCACGTTTGAAGACCACAGGAGGCTGAGCTGGGTTCACACGTCTGAGTGGCCACTGTCTCCTCTGGCCCCCCACGGGCTGCGCTGGACATGCTGAGTGCAACTTGCCCAGTCCCTGAGGATAGGCCTCCTAGTGTCACCCTCGGCCCTCCCCACAGGAACCGGAAACAAAGCACTGGGAGAGGGTGAGGCGGCAGCAAGGCCTGTGCTTTATTGTGGATCAATCTCCGGGGAACAGGCAGCCGGCAAAAGCCCAGGGCCTTGCTCTCGGGCCCCAGCCACACAGTGACAGGCAAGCCACAGGCCACGCCACCCTCAGCCACCGCACATAAATAGAGACAGACACCGCACACGCAGCTACCGCCAGCCTCAGAGCCGAGCCCGCGGGTGTGAGGAGCCGCACTCCGGGACTCCGTCTGAAATCATCCCTTGAGCTGTCGACTGGGGGGTCTCCGTGTAGCTGGGGCAGCTTCAGTCCAGCTCGATGGGACTGCTGTCATCGGGGCTGTCCTCACCCTCTTCCTGCTCTGAGGAGCCCATGAGGCTGCTGAGAAGGTTCCCTGGAGGGAGACACCAGGTGGCAGGTGCCAGAGCAGCTCTCTGGTCACCCCAACCAGCCCCACTTTCCCACGTGAGTGCACCCACCACACCAGGGCGTGTTCCGGGGGTGTCTGCGACTCTCTGGAGTACACAGAGCTGATGATCAGAGAGAAATGCTCAAACATGTCAGCTGCGTGGCTTTAGGGAAGAAAGAACCCCAAATATCCACCAGTAGGGGTCAGGGTAAAGCCACAGCAGAGGCCTAGGAAGTTACCAAAACAAGTCACAGAAATATTTATAACAAGAGAAAGCTGTAACATAAAACACTTGCATGTTATACTCTTAAAATTATATATAAATAAGATGTGTCAAAGTTTCAAAGGCTGCACATAAAAATGCCCACTGCTGTCACCTGTGGGTGTGGTCACCATTGACCTGATTTTTTACCCAAAGAATAACTGTTACTCAAATACAAAATAAAAGTTCAAGATGTCCCCTTAAACCAAACCATGAGCTAGACAGAACAAATGAAAAGTTAAACAGTGTTCTTTGGATATAAAGAGACAGAACCTTATCTGCAACCTTCAGCTCCCTCCCAGTGAGCACGCTGACAGTACTCTGTCGGGGGAGAAGCCGATTCTGAAGTCCGATGGGAAAACAGACAACACTGCGCCTGGACACTCCTGACCAGCAGTGACGCTGGGAGACAAAGCCAGATGTGGCAACGCCACACGTGCACACAGAGCCACCCTGCAAGGGCCAACTATATGCTGGAATTCAGGGAGGCCAAGGAAGCCCCTCCTGGCCAAGTCAGGGGGCATCGGCGCAGACAGCAGATACAAGGGTGGGGCCTCCACCCCACACTTACCCTAAAAATGGACCCTACACGGATAAAACAGGAAAAAGCAAAACTTAGAGTCAAGGGGACGCAGCTTTGAGAGTAACCTCCCCAAGGAAGGCCTTGCTGCGGAGCCCTTTCAGCAGCCTACACTGCCCACTTACCTAGCAGGCCCCCATAAGAGGATGTCTGCTTGGGCGGCACCCCGAAGAACAGCTGTCCGATCCGGTCCAGGTACTGCAAGAGCCAAGGCAGCGTGGTCACCAGGCGCAGAACGTGCTGGAACTGCCCTCGCAGCACAGCACATGGACTCCAGCATTTCCTACCCCAACACACTGGGCCCTTACCTCGTTGTACATGGGGTCCCTCCGGAGGGATGGCTGATACTGCTCACACAGCACCGTGAACACCGTCAGCTTGCCGCTGGGCACAAGAAAGCCGTCAGACCTATGTCTGACGAAAATGAAAACAAAACGAGAAAACCACACATCCCAGTATCCACACAGACATCCACATGCTCATGTACACACACACACATCTGCGCACAGATCTATACACACTTATTCACAGCTATACACAGCTGCACACAGTTCTATACACACACTGCATGTAGTTGTACACAGATCTATCTACATACTACACATACTCCTATGCACACATCTGCACACACCCATACAGGCAAATCTATATAATCAACACACTCACATCTATCTGCACACAACCCTACAGACACCTACACACACCACACGAACTCACACATGCACACCTGAACAAGAAAGATTTACCCATCCACGGCCAATAGCAGAAACCAGATGAAATTAAGCAGGGGCTCCACGAACGGAGGCCCATCCTCGATGGACGGGTGCTTCTGTGTGTATGTCGTGAAGACCACTGACGCGCTGCTTTTGTTTTTTAAACACAGAAATCTGGAAGTGAGAACATCCCAGTGAGTGGAAACAGTGAAGGAAGCTGGTGCAGGTACGGAGAAGCCTCCTTGGTCCCTCCCAGCTTGCGCCCACAAGGACCCCTAGCCCTGGGCTCAGAGGGCTTGTGCTGCGCACAGACGTCCTCAGGGCAGCACTGAGGAGCTTTACGATTCACTGACGAAGAGTATTGAGAGTACTGAGAAAGGCTCATCCAAGGTCAAGATACGCACTTATACACAGCTATGAACAGTGGGGCCAGAGCCGAACTTGCGTCCCTGACACTCACTGAACTAAAGCCTCCCCTTGCCCCCACCTGCATGCACCGGCCAGACACCTGCCTGCATAAGAATGCTCAGCACACAGGGCTGACACCCGGCTACTGCTGGACAGACCCTGGCTTCCACTTGGCAAGGGACACTACTCAGGCAGTGCCAGAGGACACAAAGTGTTCAGGGCTCCAGAAAAACCATTTGCACCATGATTCATTCACAAAGCTGGGGAGTTAGATTTTAAACGATTTCATTTTCACACCCACGGCTCTGTGGCAGAGTCCTGCAGCTGCCAGGCACAGCAGGGCACTGGGGCGAGTCCTGCCCCAGTGCCCACCTCCCAAATCGAGGCTTTTCCTTAGGGAGGAAATCAGCGTGACCACGTGTAACCAGTTTTTATCAGGGAAGGGAAGGGCCGAGTCTGTCACAGAGTGCCTAGCAGTGCAGACGGCTGGTTGCTGGGACCCATGCACCCCACCTTGGCAGGGAACTGGGGGGAGGGCCTGGCGGATGTTCACTAACAACCCTAGAACTCCGAGGCATGTTTCGGTATTTTAACATAACTGAGGGAAAGGAAAAAAGGATGAGGAAGGCCTAGCTAGAGTAGGGACTTTACAGGGCCAAGGAAACTGGTAGGGGGCGACATTTAGTCGGGGATCTTGTGCTTGCACTGAGGGTTTAGATGCACAGAAACATCTGCAGAGACCAACACAGCCTATGGAAGCATGCACACTGTGTGTTCCAAGATACTTCTTAAAACCTACTAAATGTATTAAAAATTATTAGTCACTCTGGGTGTGGTGTGAGCTGTGTCCTACCCGGAGTGGACTCAAGGGGACAGTGACCTGCTGCAAGGCAGCCTGAAACCCAGGCAGGGACTGAAGCAAGGATTGGGTAAACAGTGAGCACCTACTGTAGGACGGCCTGGGCCACGAACATGTCCACCTCGCTGCGGAAGCCCCTGGAGGTGGAGTACTCCACGAGCATGTGGGCACAGCCCTCCCCGTCAGCGGAGTGCAGGAAGTGGTACCGAGATTCACAATAGTTCTGCTCTGTGAAGGGACAGAAAGAACACTTTAATACAGACATACCAGGGACACAACACATCACAGAGATGTGAGGAGATTCACCTCCCCTACACCCTGCCCCACTTGCCTGCACTGTGCTGCACGTCCCGCCTGTGTTAGGAGCCCCATGTGAGAACGTGGGGATAGGGACAGGTAGACCCACTGCCCACTCAGGGCAGCTCATGGTAAACCCTCACCAAACACCAAACAGCGAGAGGGGGCAGAGCTGGTCACCAACTGAAGACCTTACTGTTGTGAGGCTAGTGAAGCCGCTAGGTCCTGCCCTTGCTCATGTGCACATCAGGGTGAAGCATAAAAACCACTAACACTGGTACTTCTGACCGACTCAGATGACCATTTCATACGGAGAAACATGACAGAAATGCTAACAACTGAGCCTCTGCCGGCACAGCACCTTGAACTTCAGATCAACAGGAAGGATAAGCCCAGGATTCTCCTTCCTGCCACAGACCTGCCACGTTGAAATAGGCAAGGCCACGAGTGACTCCTCAAACCTCACACCTGCTCACACCCTCCACCCACCCTATGCCATCCCCACACCTGCTCACACACCCTTCTCTGTCCCTGGGCCACCCCCACACCTGCTCACACACTCCCTCTGCCCCTGGGGCCACCCTCACACCTGCTCACACACCCCCTCTGTCCCTGGGCCATCCCTACACCTGCTTACACACTCCTTCTGTCCCTGGGGCCACTCCCACATCTGCTCACATACCCTCCACCCTGGGCCACCCCTACACCTGTGCTAGCCTGGCCCTTCCCATCCATATCTGGGCATTACCTTGCCCCATCACCGCCCCTCCCCCCAAGTGGAGCCCTTGTCTGCCCTCAGTGCCCAGGGCCCTGGTGCTGTATTCAGGACAGTCTGAGTGACAGGGAATACTGACTCTATTGTTTGCCTCTCTTCTGTTTGTCTCTCTGCACCTCCAAAATAATAACCTTCTAGTTTTAGGGCCTCCACATGAGGACATCATTATGGAAGTAACTACACCAGACATTACCAAGCCCAACTGCCCCAGAGCAGAGTGTAACTCGTATCCCAGGAGAGGCAGAGGTGGTGACTCAGGGTGTGGCTGTCAAGAACAGTAGCCCTGCCCCACTTGGAGTCTCTGTAAGCTCCAAGAACCCCCAGTTGGAGACTCCCAGAGTCAGGGATGAGGGCCACACCCACCCCTGGGGGGCAGCTGCCAACACCAGCACATCCAGCAGGGTCTCTGTGGACATCGCTGAGGAAAGTCCCCCACGTGCTCTGGACACCACAACCGACCCTGTGGTGGGAGGGGCTCCACGACAGACACTTTACTCCTCACATATCCTGACAATTGACACCAAACACACGCCTCGACCACTTGTGCAACACTGCGCACATGCGGCACACAGTGCTCATGCCACTCCCTTACGCCTGCTACCTTCCTGAAGGGCCCCACGCACAGGCGTGGAGGAGACATGGGCCACAGCAGTACTTGCTGCCCAAGGTCTTGAAGGAGGTGACCCCCCTGAAGCCACAGGGCCCAACTCATCTGCAAGATGACAGGTCAAGGCTGGGCCCAGGGGCTGTGGGGGGGGGGGTCTGAGGGCCTCTGCCGCCTCACTCCTGCCTGACACAGTGGCACCTGCTGGGACTCAGCAATGCTCACGCCCCAGGGCTGTGTGCTATGGGGGAGGGGTGCTGGCACAGACGGACAAGCAGGAGCAGCAGAAAACCTGCTTTCGAAAGCATGACCAGGGCCGAAACCTACGGGGAGGATAAGGAGGTCCCTGCCCTTCTGAGGACCAAAGTGACCCCAAGGAATTGACTCAGCCAGATTCCTCCACGGAGCTTCCCTCAACTTTCTGGCCTTTGAATTCTACTTAGAACTGATGGACGCTCACTCACGTGGCTCTGGGTGAAGGCAGGGAAAGCATGACAGGTGCCAGGGGAGCTGACAGCCTCTATTACAGCAGAGAGCAGGGCGCAGCCAGGTGAACCTGACCCAGGTGAAGAGAAAAGGTGTGGCCTCTCAGTCCCCTCCGCCCAGTGGGCAGTGCCTGGCAGGCTGGGGCTCTGAGATCTCAGCACCAACAAGGGCTGGCGCCTGGTGGGCACCCAACGTTCATTTGATGGATGGGTGAGAGGAGGGCAGGATGGAGTTTGGCTTTGCTGACCTGCAGAGAACACACACATTCATCCAATTTCACCACTTGTCAGAACAGAGCTATTTCCATGAAGAGCTTATTCACAAAGCTGATCTGCACTAATTTCTGGAGGAAAGTCACCTTCGGCCTAGACCTGAACTAGAAGGTGCCTGTGCCCCACACGGCTGTATCTCTCCACCTCTCTCACCTAAGCTGCCCAGATAGACGCCTGCGGGCCCAGGCACGAGGCAGGGCCAGCAAGGCCTACTGCCAGATCATGTACCACATATACTTCCTGGGGACCGCGCTCGGGAGGAAGCCTTTTCAAACCCTAATGAACAACATGTCACTTGACCAAGATTTATTGAGCACCTTTTCTGGTACCCAAGCAGCAGATCTGGAGCTACGAAACCAACCACACTAAGCCCAAACCTCCATGATCCCCACTGCATGGACTGAATGATCCCCAAAATGTTTAATCAGAAAATGAGACTGGCTCTGCAGAGAAAACAGCTCCGCCAGCTAAGCATGGGTCGGATCAGCACCAGAACCCCAGGGCGCAGACGTCCACATCTCCTGGAGAGAGCAGGGGGCACCCTGGGTACCAGCAGGAAGAAAAATGGGCTGGGCCAACCACGGCTGCCACCCTACCACCCCCTTGGGGCTGTCCTCAAGTAAGGGTGGCTGAACCTCAAAGCATAACTGCCCAGGTTTCAGAGCGCAGAGCCTCCCTCCTAAGTTATGGTGGACGATTCCAACGGATCAAAACAGACAATGCAAACGCAAGCTCCAGGAGCAGAGGGGCTGGGCCGTGCTTGCTGCCAGGCCCCATCACTGCCAGGGCAGAGCACCTCCCACCTCGCCGCCTGGGCCCCAGGGCCTACCTTTCCACAGGGTGAGGGCCAGCAGCTGGTGGAGCCGGGGGTGGCCCAGCTTCCCAGACCCTCCACTGGACCACTTCAAGGCTCTAGACACAAAGGCCACTCGCTCCGGGGAGTTGGGGTCCATCAGACTGAACACTTTAGCCAGGTTTTCTGAAAATAACAAAACAGACCCTCATCCAGGGAAACACGCAGCCACTCTAGTTCTCCGTACTGCACATCTTACAAACATGAATTAAAAATGACAATTATTCAACTTGCAAAGAACTGGTGTGTTGGTGGGTGTCCCTGGGGCTCTGGTGCTATCCAGGGCTACCCCCAAACGATCTCTCTGCTGCAGAGGCAGCACCGTGTGCCACAGAGCATGACAAGGAAGGACAAACGCCTTTCCAGCCTCATGGCTTAGTAGTCCAAGTTGGGCAGCTGGGCAGAAGGGTAGGCTGTGCTGGGAGCAGAGCCTGGGACGGAAGCAGCAGGCTGGGTTCCTGCACAGCCGCCGCCACTGGGCCCACAGGACCCTCATCCCCTCCCGGCCCACGTGGAGGGCTCTGCCAGCTGCCCGCTGACCAGACAGAGCCTAGCCTGCGGACAGAGGGCACCCACTCGCCAACTCAATGCCATGCAGAAGGCGTGTCCTACGGGTGCCAGTGGGCTCGACTCACTGTGACTGGGCAGCAGCTGCCTCTGCAGCAAAATCAACCCCAGCACGCGAGAGACCCCAGTAGACATGGGATGGAGGGAAGAGACATGGAGACGCCACGTCAAAGAGCAGCGATGAGAGCAGCCACGGTCCCTTGTGCCCAGCAAAGCAGCACTGCCAGTTCTCACCCAGCAGCTCGTTGGTCACTTCCACCTCTGCCTTCTCCAGGGACTCTAGGACCAGCATGGACAAGTCCGCAGCACTGTTTTGCTACAAATCATTTAAGAAACAATCACACAGTTAAGAACAAAGCTCTGATTTGTGCAGAACAGATAATATAAAGCTGGGTAGCGGCTCTGGTTTTCTAGACAGAAGCCTGTGAACATACCAAAGCTAAGGAAATATGTTCTGAGCACCGTGTCACTTAGAATAACTGAGAACCCCTGGCCTAGGAGCAAACGAAACAGGACCATTTATACCCAAACAATACATGTGTAGCACCCAATGCCCCAGCACAAGGGGCCCACAGTGGCCGGGAACACCAGCACCCTCTGCCACAAGCCGCCAAAGTGGCTGGAGCCAAGGATGGCCCGACGTCAGGCACCAGGCCGCTCCCTCGTCTGCCCAGGGCAGCAATCTCGCCATAGCAGGACACACTCACCTGGCCATGACTGAAGAACAGTAAGGCCCCTGAGTACATGAGCTCTCGGGCTTCGATGTGTCTGCTCTGGGACATGTATCTGCAACAGGGAGAAAAGCTGTTAGCTGAGGGACAACTGCTGCAGATACTCCCCAGGGCGGGCGAGTTCTCATCGCCACACTCGCCACGTCGGGCATGGTTTGGGAGTTAGATGCTGAAGGTGCACAGGGGAGCGTGGAAGCCTCAGTCCTGTGCATACACACCTTTTATCAGGAATGGAAACAGCAACTCTTGAAGCACACAAGCTCCATGGGAAGGAAAAGAAGAGTCTGTCCAGCTGTCCAGCTCAGCATGGCCACCCCAGGGGCCTCTCTTCTCCCTTTAGGCCCAGTTCCTCCTGACCACGAGGGCCACTTGGAGCGCCTCTGGACACAAAGGTCCCTGCTCTCTCAAGCTCAAGCCTTGCCCACCTGAAGACTCTGTGGGTGGGGCCACCTGGGCCCAAACACTCCTGGAATCAGACAGCAGCCCCTCCCTGAGCAGCCCCTCGGTTTCAGCAGAAGGGACCCTGCAGGGCACGACTTCCATCTTCAAGACAGGCCTTGCCTTGGTGGCCAGGTGCTCCAAGAAGGAGCAGAGCAGACGTACACACATCTCAGAACAGAGGGGCCACAGGGCACACAGGGATGAGAGATAGGGTCCGACTGGGGACAAAAACTGCAACCTCACCTCCCCCCCTTCCTCTGAATTCCATGCACTCCCATCCCTGGGACAGGTGCACCATCTATCTGCGCCCTCCTGTACTGTACACCACCTTCCTAGGGCAGGGACCAGCCTGGGTGGCCTTCACCCCTGTGAAGCCAGGAAAGCTGGCCTCTCAAACCGCACAGGGACAGAGCAGTGAGAAGCCTGGCTGGCACCTAAGCACCCCAGAGCCATAGGCAGGGAGGGTGGGGCTGTGTGCAAAAGACAAACACTGGGAGGCAGCTGGGCCCTGCCTGTGAAGAGAAAGTGTGGGGGCAGCAGAGAGGGGCCACGCCTCCCAAAGCACTTTGTTTTACTGGTTATACGCTTATCTTGATTACCGTTATCTTATTAGCAAAACAATATAACCAGCCAATCAACTCCTTGTCTCTGGGCCAAAATTTCCTTGGACAGAGCCATATTTAAACACAAATCAAGTTAAAGAAAAATATCAAGTAAATAGCAGTGCAGGTGAAATAAACAAACAGAAATGCACAGATGGCTCAAGTCTGGGCAACGCAACTTTAGCAGGCCAGCAGGGAACCCAAGTGTTGGCTGTTCTATTAACCACAGGAAAGGTCTTTTATTCAGAAAGGCATCACAACCAGATACCTTGGGGGAATCCCATTAGCTTGGCAGACAAGCCCCCCAACAGGAGACCCCATCTGGCTGCATTTTGAGGGTGGCCACCAAGAGGTAAAAGACAACACCCCAAGCAAGATGCCACCTGTCAGGCCACCAGCAGTCTTTAGTCTCTCTCAGGCTCCAAACCTGGATGGAGACCCACCCTGTAAGCACTCACAGGGCCATTTATCCTGTGACCAGCCATTCTCATTCCTAATTCCCATCCTGCAGAGCCACCGCCTAACTCTCCAAGGATATTGGGAGCCACCCTGCAGAATCTCAGAGCCGTTCCATGCGCCTGCTCAGGGCAGCAGCAGGGTCTGTAAGAACAAGTACTCACAGTATACAGCCACACACTGCCATCTACATGGACACTACGGAACCGTATGCACTCATCGTATGTGACCAGCCAGGTGAATTTGTTTCTGCTTACGTGTGACACTACAGAGTTCTAGACTCTTCTAAGGTACAGTAAGAGATAACCTTTTAGAAAACCAGATGAAGAAAAAAGAATGCCTTGAGAGGCAGATAAACCAAATTCCTGGGATAGGGAACCTGCAGATGATTACGGCAACACCCCCCCCAGCCAGCCTGGACCACGACCGCCCCTGCGCTTCCTGCTCCCAGGGCAGAGCAAACTCCAGAGGGAAGAGGCAGGGACACCGTGAGGCTCCTGTGCGCATAGCCCTCACCTTGTGGAAACCACGTGTTTCCTGACCAAGGGCAGCTGGTAAAGACAAAACAGTCCGAGGTAAACATTAAAACGATTTGCTGCTTTTTCCACTGAAGAATCAAGCCCTGGGAGTTTTTGTTTCTGGGTGACTAAGCAGGGACTGGTGCCCTCTGAGGCCTGAGGCCACAGGAGAGTCAAGAGTGGCTGGAGCAGAGCCCGGGTGCCCCTACCAATCTGTCCACACAGCCCTGACCGCTGCAGCTGCTGCATACGCCACATGAACACCCCAAAAGCACCTTTTATACACTGAAATAGGACTTCTGTCGTCCTCGGATGAAGAACATTCTGAGTTGGCGCACGTTGGTGCCACTAGCCCAAAATGGCAGCATCTTTATCCACGGAGCATGTCCGTGCAAATATTACAGTTTATGTTGCTCTTATTTCTTTCTCTCTCACACGTACAAGAGCAGAACACAGAAATGGAAGTATTAACACTAGTGATAAAAACTGTGTGGGTCAAAAGACAAGCTCATGGGGCAAATCTCTAGCCTGTCACCCTCACCAGCTGGAGCCCACTGTGTTCCAGCCCAGAGGGTGCATAGCAAACACTTGATGCAGCAAAGCATCTAACAAGGGACAGTTACAGACTGCACAGTAAGGTCCCCACACTGACTGACACATTAAAACACCCACACCTGGACATGGAGTCGGCTGGTGCCTGCTTTCAGGAGAGGACTGGGGGCCACACTGCATGAGAAACAGTCGCTGCAAGTACAATACTTGAACTGACAAGGCACAGCTGCCTGCACTGCCAACAGCTCCCTTAGGAAAAAGTTTATCTTAGGCACTGGGTTGAGGCATGTGCAGAACACATATTATAAGTTTTTCTTTTTAAAAAAATTTCTTTATATGACTTAAGAGGCAAAATATTATTTCAGGCCACAAACAATCAACTCAAACAAATCTCAGGAAGAATCATGTGGCAGGAAGACTCACTTTCCGTGGCGGGGCAGAGAGCCACAGGAACACTGGGCAGGGAGTGGAGGGCAGACGCCAGGCCCAGCAGTTCTGATAGTGGATGCCACGCATCGCTGCCACCTGGGCTGGGCTCTCAACCACATCAAGTTTGTAAAAGCAAATGTGCAAACACTGCAGCCAACAGCGAGGCCCCTGAAGACCAGAGGGTGGCACTTGGGCCACTCTGGCAAAGTTATCCCACAGCCACAGAGATTTACTGACTTCATGAGGCACCAATAATCCCACAGGCCGGGAAAATGGACTCCCTCCCCATCCTGGCAGAGAGAAGTCTGGAGAGACAAGGTGACCTCCCCTAACCAGTACTATCCACAAGACAAAGGTGAACACACTCTACACCCTCTCCGCCTCCAATGCAACCAGGTGGACCAGGAGCTACTACTCAACTTCTGTGGGACACACCCCCTGAGACCCTTCTGGGCCACCCAAGTCCTCCCTCTCCTCCACCTGAAACTGCTGTGGGATGTAAGTGAATTAACAGTGTCACCTGGTGAATTTATCCAACAGCCAAATGAATTAACAAATTGTGGTAGAAGCACACGATGGAATATACCACTCAGCAATAGAAATCAATCACATGGATGAACCTCAAAATAATCACACTGAATGAATCTAAAGAGACAAAAAAGAGCACATGTATGTGATTCCACTTACATACAATTCTAGAAAATTAAATTTATTCTAAATGAGGGACAGCAGATCAGTGGTTGCCTGGGACAGGGGTGAGGAAGGCTGATTAGGAAGGCACAGGAGAAAGCTTTTAGGGGCAATGGGTACTTTCAATTATCTTGATTGGTGATAGTTTCATGGGTGCATTCGTATTAATAAATCAAACCTGATCAAATTGTATATTTTATGTAAATATTTAAATGTAAATATGCAAATATATATTTATTGACACAAAAACATGAAACAATTTAGCATGATTTGGGGAATTTGACTTCTCCACAAGCTACCACACCCATGGAGTACTCTACGGCAGGGCTGGGAGTCTGCATGGAATTCTGCCCTGGGTGAACAGGGGTGCTTTCCGCAGGGACCCCCTGGGGCTGTACAGTGAGGTAATGACCTAAGAGGGTGCCTAGGCTCAGACAGGTTCAACGTGTCTCTCCTAGGTCCCAGGGAGTGAAGCCCAGCCTTTGGTCCCTCCCAGTTAACCCTCACAGTTACCACCTTCACACTCAGTACAGGGCGTGGGGTATACAGATCATCACCAACCTAATCTTCCTACAAAATACTCCCTCCACCTGGGGAATCGTCATTTACAAGCTAAATTAACAATCAAATAAACCTCTTATCATGGCAAACTGGTTCAAAACAAGGAACTTCATGTTTATTTTTGGGAAGATCCATCTTTTGCTGAGTAATAACTGGGCAAATATCTACATACAAAACTTCAAGAACAGCCAATCATCAAGGTACACATCTCAAGTGAAGAAAAAGCTCCATGGCATACAGAGTCACAGCTGGCCAAACCACCTGGAAAGATCATTGCTATAGTTGTGTCTGGAGCCGCTTACATCTTTGGCTGCTCCTTAAAGAACAATCAGGTTTCAGAGACAACAATGGCCTGGCCCCGCTCCACTGGGAAGTTGTTACTGTTCAGTGACAAATTCAATTAACATTAAAACTCACCACTATAAACATCATACCTTAAGGACTTGTTTCTGCCACAGGTAAACTTAAATAGTCTCCAAGTAAAGGGAAAAGCAAATCTCTTTCTAAACCACTTACCACACAATGATAAAGCTGGATGCAGCCTGACTGGTTTGTATTTATAGAATGTCAGGAGTTAATGCCTAGAAAGTTCTAGAACCAAGGCTGCCCTTCAGGTCACTCAGACTCAAACAGTGACTAATCCCTCTCCACAAGCCTGTAGTCAGGGACTCCAGACCAAAGCGCCTAACCCCGGCTGCACAGAAGGGTCTGTACAAGTAACAAGAAAAACCTCCTCATGTAAGACTGCAGCAATGCTTCATCCCAGACCTGCCCAGTCAGCTGAGATTGAGAACTACTCACTTGAACACTCGTCTTCTTTCTTTTCCTAGCACAGATATACGTTTTAAGTAAGGCCATGGTACCTGTTACATGCCGGGGACTGAGGGGTCATCCCACACCTCACTTGGTGGGATTTTCACCACTTAACCACGTCACTCGCTGACCCGGGACCCTGGTCCGACTCACGGATAGTGTTTAATACAAATGCAAGTTAGTAAACTACAGCCAGAGCAGAAGCACCCCCAGAGTTCCCAAGACAATGATACCACTTGTTATTTAAAGAAAAACTTAAAATCTAGGCCTAACAGAAGATTTTGGGGCAGCGGAACTCAACACACAGGATGCAGCACACCTGTGCACAGAGGTACATGGAAAGGGTACATGGAAAACGCTGGACTTTCTGCTCAACTGTGCTATGACCCTAAAACTGCTCTTAAAAGCCTATTAAAAACAAAATAAACTAGGTCTAAACTGTGTAACAGTCAGATCGACTGCCCTTAAATATTATACCAAAACATTCGCTGTCCGTGGCAGTTTAGAAATAAAAGGTTCTCCACAGAACAGATGAAATTCTCTGGAGTTATCTCCAATGCACGTCCGAGGTCTGGTTACTCCGCCGCCAAATTGTTTTCCTGCCTGAACCACCCCGGACAGGCGACGTGCGCGATGCACAGGAATGTCACACCCAGAACCAAAACCTGGAGAAGCAGCTGTGTGACCGACGGCCGGCGGAACCCGCGGGCGCTTCTTGGCCTGCTAGTGGCGGGGCACGGAGGGCTCGTGCATCCAGCCCGGGACGCGTGCAGCGCGGCCCCTAAGAGGTTACCGGTCCACGCGCTCAGCCCGCGGCCCGCACCGGGCGGGTGGGCACCGCACGAACAGCAGCGCCGCGAAAACGGCCGATTTAGCACAAAACAGAATGCGGGGAACGCGGGGGCGGCATAAGAGACAGGGTTTAAGCTGACGACCGGACCCTCCGCAGGAGGACGCCCGCGACTCCGCGTGGGGCTCCGGAGCCACCCGAGCTCGGGGTAGGCGCGGGCAGGGGAGGCGGGGCAGGGCCAGGAGAAGGAGCGGAGCGGGCCGGGGGTTAGGGGGAGGCCGGAGTGGGAGGCCGAGGCCGGACCGGGCAGGCCGGAGCCCTCTGCCCCGCGGCTCCTGGCTCCGACTCGGCCTCCGCGACAGGCAGAGGCGGGGGCCAATGGGGGTGCGGGGCGAGACGGCGCGGCCAATGGCAGGCGGCGGGGGCTGGGCGGCCGGCCGGGCCGAGGCGGGCGGCGGCGCCGCGGTACCTGAAGAAGAGGGTCCGGTACATCTGGTGCGCCTCGTAGTAGTCGCCCTTCTCGACGCTGGCGCGCAGCTTGCCCTCCACGCGCTGGACGCCGCCGCGGTTGCGAGCGCCATTCCGGGCGCCCTCCTGCTCGGCCATCGCCGCCGCCGCCGCCGCCATCGGGCCGGCGCTCCGCGCAAGGCTGACGCTGTCGCAGGCGCGGTCGGCAGCACCTCCCGGCTTCCGTCCCGGCGGCGCCCGACGCCCTCTACGGTGGCCGTGAGGAGCCGCGCGCAGTCGCGGAGCGGGCGCGCCGGCGACCGGCACGTGACCGGGGGCGGGGCCGCGGCGCCTGCGAGAGCGGTACGTGACCCGGAGGCGGGGCGCTCGCTGACGCCATAATGGCGGCGGCGGCAGCCGCGGCCCAGAGGGGAGACTGGGAGGCTGCAGGGAGCTACCCCGCCCCCAGGGAGGCGAAGGGATCTAGACAGGTCCGGACACCGCGCAGGGAGCCACTCCTCCCTCAGGCCCCAGCGGGCGTCATGGGCTCGGGAGCAGGACAAGCTGGAGCGACTCAAACGGCCACGCGTGTCTGGGGAGACCGCTGGGAGGCAGCTTCGAGCCGGGGACGCTCTGGGGAGTGCTGAGGGCTGACCCTGGGGAGGCCGAGCTGGGGCCACCTCTGCTCCCCCTCGACCCCCGATCCTCCAGCCCCCTCCACCCCCGCTGCGCCCCTGCCCTTCCAGCTTCCTCCAGCCCAACTGCGCCCCAGTCCCCTCCTGCCGCACACTGTGACCCTCAGGGCATAGGCCCGCTAAGATCCAGCCAGCCCCACTACTCCCGCGGGCAGAGAGGAACAAACTGAGAAAGAAATACACTGTTTATTATTCATTGGAAATATCACATGCACTTTTAAAAATTAAAACTCTTTATTTAAACATCTTAATAGCATCTTATCAATTTGGTGGCAGCAAAAGAAGCACTACCAAAGACAAATATTTTGAAAGGCATTTACAAAAATACATTGCACAAAGTCCTATCTTGCATCTTTAAAAATAAATTAATATTCAAAATATTTCCACCCCAACTCCCAAATTTGGTTTTTATAGGAAATTTTCATTTATACACATAACTTGTAATATATGAAACATCTGTACACGTTTTAGCCACTGTAACTGCATAGTTCCAATTCTAAGGAGAGGGAAAAAATGTTACTATATGTAGTTTTTTATATTTGAGGGCTGTTGTGCAATATACATAAAACTCTTCAGAAAACCAGTCAGCACCATCATTTTGTTTTTCTGAAAATACAACATTTATGGTACACCAAAAACTGTCTTAACCCAATAAAACTTAAATTATTCTTAAGGTAAAACATCTGTAACACTTTTAAGTTCCTTGCAGATATCTCATTTATAAAGTCTGCTCAGTAAAATAGTCTAAATATTAAATATTAGTTATAACCAAAATGAGTCTCACAAGAATCAAGTGAGAGTGCCCAACAGTCGTAATAAAAGGCAAATTCCGACTGGAGCCAGGAAAAAGTGCTGCTACTGTAGGAAAAACCATGATCCTGAAATTGATGGTTTCACAAATGTGCCACCCTGGACAACTCCTTGGATAACCATCAGCAGAATAACAATGCAGCTTCTGAAAGACTCAGAGCATTGTAGTGTTCCCTTTTCAACAAAGTTCAAAACAAAACCCCCAAGATTTCCTGGTTCCTATTCCTATGTGCACCCCAGTGGGAACAGCCTCGCTGAGACAGAGCTCCATGTGTGGTGTGGTTAGGTCCAAATCTCTCCTTTCAAATCAGACTCACTTTGACCTATAAGAACAAAACTCATCCATATTCCTCCAAGGATATTAGCATGATGAGTCCTGACTGAAAATCTTTCTCAGAAGTAAGAGCAAACTAAGCAGAAAAGCACATTTTTGTCCTTTCCCCACGTGGAGACTTAGTAAACCACTGGTGCTGAATAAAGGAAAATCTCATCTTGAAGAAAAGGAGTTTAGAACTCTGAAAATTTGGTGACATTGTTTTTCCCTGAAAGAAATGTGTGTTGGATTTAACAGATGAAATAGATCTGCCCTTAAAAGTCGTTCAGAAGAGCCAGTGAAAGGCTAAATATCAAAGCTTCAAGAACACGTCAAGCCTTCTAACTGCACTTGCTTTGTTCCTGCTGCTAATACAAATACAAAGAGCTTTATGTTCAGAAACAACGTACGTATGAGAACCACACAACCCAGTGAATTTCCCCTGCTGCTGACAATCTTTATGGACACAACACGCTCAACATGCAGTTTCAGTGGAAGTTGGGCATCAGAGCATTTGTCACCTAAATTTTCACAGCCTCCTGCTGGTAGTCAGTAACATTTATTTAAGGGGTGACACTGTCCTGTTATTATATACGCCCTCACCCATGAAGGATTCCAGTGTTTCAGGCTGTCCGGTATATACAAAAATGTACAAAAATAATAAGTAGTGTCTTTACTTAACAGGCTCCCCGTGAACTCGGAACCGATAGAGACAGGTGTACTCAGGATGGCCCCAGTTAGAGAAAATCCGAAGTTCCACAACTTGGAAAGCTCTTTCAGGTCTTTTCTGAAATCAAGGGGACAAAAAAAAAGTATGTCATATACATAACCCCAAAACCCAATCACTTCCTCAACTATGATGTTTGGTAGGAAGCAGCAAAGTTGAAAACTAAATTTTTCAAAATGAAAACCTTATAAGTAATCTATCACAGGACACGAAGCTTGGACAAAACCCTAGGAAATCATTATATAATTTCAGTTTCAATGCGTTTCAAACACATCTATTTGTAGCTCATTAAAAAGCTCATTAAAGAAAAGCAAAGCTAGAAAGCTAAAATTAACTTTTTCAAAGGCTGGTCTTCTTGCTTTCAACACTGGTAGGGTCTTGTTGTCACAACAAGCCCAGGGTACTCCAGGACACCCAAGGAAGTGAGACACCCATGGTCCTTACCAGTACGTGGAACGTTTGCAGAGATTCCCCTTCATGATCATATGTGAAGTGTCCCAGAAGCCACCCTTCCTCTTGATACTCATTTTCCAATCCCTGGAACCAAGACATATAGTCATCAAGTAACAGAAGAATGACACTGAGCTAATTAGGACTGTTTCCCTTCAATATGAGTGAGGGAAGATCACCTCTCCATAGTACAGGGGTAAGGCCTTCCCTGGAAGGGCGGGCATTCTGATACAACCCCCAGGTAAGTGTGACTCCTCCCATTACACAGGCAAGAAAACCCAGGCTGAAAGAGGACACACTAGCAAGCAGCAGAGAAGGGACAGCGTCTGACTCCATAGACTACAAGCCACCCGCATGGCCCACTGCTGCTCCCAACGCTCCCTAGTGGAAACCTTGGAGCATTGGACCAGTCTGGGAAGAGGAAGAGCCTTGGAGGGAGAGAGCAAGCTGGGGTGCGCAGCTGGGGAGAGGGACAGAGATCCAGTCCAGGAAGACAGAAGAACTCTGGAGATGAATGGGGGTGACGGTTACAAAAGATTGTACATAATGCCGCTGAACTGTGCACTGAAAATGGTTAAAATGGCAATTCTGTACATATTTTATCACAATAAAAGATAAGAATGGTAGAAAATATAGGGGACTATTTGAATGTCTGTTTCATAATAGGAAAGGACTTTCTAGGTATAAGAAATGCCAGAAATAAATCACAGGCAGTGAGTAAATACAAAATTAAATGTGACTATGGGAAGTATAGTTGTAACAGAATGACACATGCTTAATATCTACATTTAAAAGCTCAAATATTCATAAGGAAACTAAGATCCAGAAAGATAAATCAATAAAAACAAGACCAGAATCTACAAAAAAGAAAATGTGCATGTGAAATACAGAGAGATACAGATTAAGATACTATTTTTTCACCTATCAAGTTAGCAGAGATTAAAAAAGAGGGCTCCATTCTTAGAAAGGGAACTGAGAGCAGCACACATCTCAGTGCTACCGTGGAAATGCTAGTCACGCACAGCACAGCGTGATGCCTTGATGCCCTCTGACACCGTGACACCACTTCTAAGCATCTAGCGTGCAGAAATAACTGAAGATAGGAAGATGTTGCACTTGCACTGAAAAGCGGAAAATCGAAATATTCAACAGGAAAATCGGTCAGGTAAATAAGGAATTCAACTATACAATGGGATTTTATGCTATTTAAAGATGTCTCTAAAGAGTTCAACTGCTGTACAAAAATGCTTATGACAAAACTTTACTTTTTTAAGGCAGGAAACAAAGTTTTGTAACAGTATTGTCTCAACTGTATTTTTTTTTTCTTTTTGAGACAGGGTCTTGCTCTGTTGCCCAGACTAGCATTCAGTGGCGTCATCACAGCTCACCACAGCCTGCAACTCCTGGGCTCAAGATATCCTCCTGCCCCAGCCTCCTGACTGGGAGTTCGGACTCCAGGTACACACAACCACACCTGGCTAATTTTTTTTTTAAGAGAGCCAGAGTCTTACTAATTGCCCAAGCTGGTCAATTATATTTTTTTAAAGGAGAAAATAGAGAGACCAAAAAGTGCCACAGTATTAATGGTGGCTTTCTCTAGGTACTGGGATTATGGACCTTCTTTTCTTAATTTGCTTCTATAAATTCTAAAACTAAGAAAGCAAAATTTACTTTATCATTTGTCATTCAGTTGGTTCAACCTCACACAGTTGTTAAAACATCCTCTGTAGGTGACTACACAAAAGTGAATGAGATTCTCAAAGCCAGGCACGTTTAGCTTAATCTGTTTAGCACTATACACAAATGGGATATAAATCAATGCACTATTTATAAGTTACCCTCCCTGGAAACCTGGTGAGTGTGGTTGAGGGGCGTGGGGTGAGAGACAGCTGCCCCGGGAAACACATTCGCATCAGGAGCTGTGAGCACGTTTTGGGAATTCCCAGGAAGGAAAGGGAGGAGCTGGCCAAATGCACTCACGTAGACCGCGAAGTCCTTGGGGGCGCTGGTGATGTTGCCCGTGGGTGACAGCGTCTTTGGTATGTGCTCCAGCGTGACGGCGGTTGGGTGGATCACCATCGAGAGCCTCACCACCAGGTAGCCCTGGGAGCCTTTAAACGCCCAGCAGTTTCCTGGGTACATGTCAGGCTAGGGAAAGGCAAAATGCCAGAGCAACGGTTTGAACAAGCTCTTAACCACTTAGGAAACAAGCAACAGGAAAAAAGACTGACACAGAAGTAAAAATAAAAGCATTTTTACATGGTAAAAAACCATTGTAAGCAAAATCAGGAGATAAAATGGGGAAAGGCATTATTTATAACTGAGATCTCACAGGTCACTACTGCCAACACCTAAGTTTTATAAAAGTTAAGATAACCAGAGCCACAAAGAAAAATGGGCAAGACAGAAACGTCCCTCAGAGAAAAATAAATTTAAATGGTCCCCAAACATATGAAAAGATGCTCTGCGCCTTATACAACAACAAGAAAATAACAAACTAAAATAACAGGGAACTACCATTTCTCAACTATTAGACTGACAAAAACCTAAAATGTGACAGGACGTGTTGTGGATGCTGTAGGGAAACGCATGTTCTTGCTGCGGGTTGACGTGCGAAAGGCACCAGCCTGGCAACACCCAGCACCGCTGCATGTGCACCTGCCCTCTGTCCTGGCGCCCCAACTCCTACATTTACCCTCCGACCTGGTGACCCCACTTCTACATTTAATCTCTGACTTGGTGACCCCACATCTACCCTAAGATACACAGACAAAAGTACAAAATGATAAAGGCATAAGGATATTGTGGCAAGAGTCCTTGTGACAGAAGAGGACCCACAAGCCCATGAATAGGGACTAGTGGAACAGGCTGTGGACCGGGGTAGGGCAGCCCACCCTTGTGAAGTAAAGTGATACATGCACATTTGTGTCTATAGAGAAAAGGGGAACAGTGTGCCTGTACACACTGTTTTCTCCTTTGTGCCAGGTATCTATTTACTGCCCCTCAGCCCAAATCTATCCGTTTAGCCTGCTGTGGGAAAGTGGAGCTGGGCCCTGTCACTGCTTTCCCTTTGCCAGCCCAAAGACTGAGCTGTCAGTGCAGGTTGTGCGATGGGTTCCCCTCTTGGGAGCCTGCAGCAGAATGCCTCCAGTGGGTTCTAGCAGGTTCCACCAGTGAGGCAACACAGCACCTTCCCAGCTGTCTATGAGCTGTGGCCAGGCCCTCTCTGGACCTCAGCCCTGGGGAGGGCGGGGGATGCTTCCTAGGTGCTCCACCTCAGTCCTGGGGTGGGAGCTGGTCCTCATACCTGCCATTCCTATGTGCTTTTAGAATTCTCTTTACTTCCCAGTACCCAATCACTTGTTACTCCAATCCCGTTACAGCTAATAGTGCCTTACATAAACATTCCCCCTTCAGTTCGCCTGCATTTCTTCTGACAGAGAACTGTACCACCCTCTCCCTCACACACATCTAAGACACCCAGAGACTTGCTACGCCATCACCACTTCCAGCAGCGTGACAGCAATAGTGCTGTGCACCAGTGTGGCATCTGGGGCGTGTCAGGAACTCCAAGGCCTTTGAGGACTCTGTTATGGCCAGGAGCAGGAGGTAGCACCGCGGAGGAGTCCTGTCTGCCTTGCCAGGTGGCAGCCTATTCTGGTGTGCTTGCAATCTAGCACGAAGGAAAGGGATCCTTCCACCTCGGCCTCCCAAAGTGCTGGGATTACAGGCATGAGCCACCATGCCTGGCCCGGACTTGTTTTTAACTGAAAAATAGCTATAAGGTGGATGTTTATATAAAAGGAATTTTAATTTTCTTCAAAAAGTGCCAGGATTATTAGGCAGCATTTTAGTACGAAGGCAAAATAAATGTATCTGACCATTTAAATTCTTTTAAGTCCTTTAAGTTTGTACAACCAAGAGTAAAAAATAAAGGCACAAGGAAGCAGCGGTACATAGGGGAATGGTCAATACCGGCACCAGAGGAGGGCTCCCCACTGGATGCCAACCGATGCTCTCTCCCCCTCCCACCCTTCAGAAAACTGAGACCGGGCAACTCATAATCTCACAAGACTGCCAATCTATGAGCGTGAACAAGCACACAGAGCACGGTGAACACTCTCACAAACAGGAGAGAGAGAAACCTGCCAAGGCGAGTGTGACATCACGGTCCCATGCCTGGTAACCCTAACCCTAACCCAGAGGCCAGTGGAGATGAGGGGGCCTAGTGGTGCTGGGGATGTGGTTTCCTGTCCTGACACTAGTTTCACACGTTCGTTTGATGCAACTTCACTGAGCTGTATACTTAAAATCTGCACACTTTCTGTATGTTTATTACACCTTGATAAAAAGCTAAGAAAATGCATCATAAACTGGGCACAGCCAGCACCTGGCCTGTGCCTGGGGGCTTCTACCACCAGGTAGCAGAGGCAGGAGCCCACACCAAACCAAGTGTAGCCCTGGGACAGGCGCCCACTCACCTGGATGACCACGCGTGGGGACTGGGAGAAGTACCACAGCGGGATTCCAAACAGACTTATCAGTGCCGTTTTGGTTTCGTATGTTTCAGAGCAGCGAGTACTCAAGATGCTGCCACCTTAAGGCAAAGTATAAGATGGCTTTAGTATTTAATTCCACCATTTTGGGAGCTGTATCACACCTAACTGAAGGACTTAATCAAAGTATCCTTAAAACTCTAAAGTTTTTTTACTTGTACAGACAGCCTTCTACTTTAAAATCAGTCCTATTCTTCATTAATTTTACTTTCTCCAAATTCAGTGCCAACAGTTTGCAATTGCTCTGGGATATACAATCTGTACCTACTGAAATGGAAAAGTTAAAATAATGGCTTTCCCTCCCCACTACTAGAGGACCAGCTACTCTGAACGGATTTTTGTTCGTTTTTCTAAATAAAGACTAAAGAATCCAACCAAGCACAGGTGTTACCTGGCAAGTGAGCTCTTGGAGGGCAGATGTAATAAGCCCAACTGACAAAACATCATGGTAATTACCAGTTAAAACAAAAGTGTCAGGGAATAGGGAGTGACTGCTAGCAGGTACAGAGTTTCTACGTGGGGTGAGAGAAATACTGTGGGATCAGATAGTGGTGAGGGTTGTAAAACATTGTGAATATACTAAAAACTACTGAGTTGTTCACTTTAAAATGGCGATGTTTTCATTATGTGGATTGTGTTTCAATAATAAAAAAAAAGCAGCATTAAAAAATGTCCAGTTTGCCCCTCAATAGGAAATTGGGCAGACAGAATACTAGTGTCAAGGCAGGACCAAAAAAACCACCGAAAAACAAGTCTGCGTGGGAAGCAGCAGCAAATACAAACAAACAAGTCGGTGAGAAGGAAGCTCCTGGGCAACACGCTTGGCAGCTGTGGCCCTAAGTCTGCTGTGAGCACTTGTAAGGTGCCAGGAGCGGGAGGGGCAGGGATTTGTATCAAGCACAAATAAAGGGGACTTTGATGTCGCTGAGGGAGAATTGAATTGCTGAACCCATGAATTATTATACCGTTTTGAAATATCCTATTCTAATATTCCTATTCTTAAAAAGTCTCCTTAAACAGAGTAACTCACATTTTTAGCTTACAAAAGAACTGATAAATGTTTTGTTTAGTGACAAAACCTTCTGTTCAACCTTACCAGGTACTACTGGAATTCTAAGTTAATGATTCTTTCTTTTTTTTTTTTTTGAGATAGAGTCTTGGTGTCACCTGGGCTAGAGTGCCGTGGCATCAGCCTAGCTCACAGCAACCTCAAACTCCTGGGCTCAAGAGATCCTCCTGCCCCAGGGCTCCCAAGTAGTTGGGACTATAGGTGTGCACCACCATGCCTGCCTCATTTTTCTATTTTTAGTAGAGATGGGGTCTCACTCTTGCTCAGGCTGATCTTAAACTCTGGAGCTCAAGCAATCCTCCACCTTGGCCTCCCACAGTACTGGGATTACAGTCATGAGCCATCATGCCCAGCCCCAAGTTAATGATTTTAAGAACAAATGACAACTATTAGCCTATTTTGTATGGTTAATGTCATTTGATACCCCTTAAATGAAAATAATTTCTTCATAAATCACAGAATTTCAAAATATATAACGAACAGTCAGCAGCCCTACTGACATCCGTCTAGCATAAAGAGAAGGGCAGTTTCACATGACAAAAGTTTGCATCCACCACGTTAAGATGGTAAATGGAACCAAATCCAACTGCTCCAGTAAGGATAGGATTAGGCTCCTGACCAACCAAACCCAAGTTCCTCAACTCCAGGGGTGAGCAAATCAAACAGACTTCGGGTTTATAAAATCATTACCACCCTGCAGGGCTCTGCAACCTCATCACATACTCGTGTGTACTAAGCACATTATCACCCAAATGATGATGTTCCACCAGCCCTCAAATGCAATTCCTACATTTTAAAAATTCAAAACCCCAGCTGGCGCAGTGGCTCACAACCTGTAATCCTAGCACTCCGGGAGGCTGAGGCAGGAAGATTGCTTGAGCTCAGGAGTTCAAGACCAGCCTGAGCAAAAGTGAGACCCCATCTCTACTAAAACTTTAAAAAATTAGCTGGGCGACTAAAAACAGAAAAAATTAGTTGGGCGTGATGTCATGCGCCTGTAGTCCCAGCTCCTCAGGAGGCTTAGGTGGGAGTATCACCTGAGCCCAGGAGATCAAGGTTGCTATGAGCTAGGCTGATGCCACGGCACTGTAGCCCGGGCAATAGAGCAAGACTCTGTCTCAAAAATAATAAAAAATAAAAAAAAACTAAGACTTTTCTATAACATATGGTGGCAAAACCTTCCCTAACCTACATGATGTTACTTATGGTTTTTATTTATCTCACCTGTTTCTTCATAGAGATCTCCTGAGCTAGACCCAGGTATGTTGTCCCCAGTGTCACAGAGGGTATCATGTGGACCTCAGTACTTTACTAAACTACAATTCTGACTTTTTAAATGCATTTGGCCCCAAGAGTTCTGGTCCACACTTGTGCACCTGCAGTGTTCTGAAGAAGCAAAACACCACACCTATCATTCTGTACACGCAACTTTGTTTTATTATCTGTCTTATTGCCGGAGTGGAAGCCCCACGAGGGCAAGGTGGGTGGTCACTGTGTGTCTCCACTGCAGGCACAGAACAATCCATCCCCAAACCACAGGACAGGAGGCTATGGGTGATCAACCCACATGCTGTGGCGCAGACCCTGACGTAGCCATGAGCACACACCACCAACCCTTCCAGGGAAGACCTGTGCCCAAAAAGCAACTGGCCAAGAAGAACGAATACCAGGGAGTTGGCCAGAACCACACTCTTGTCTCAAATTTTTACAAATTCTAACAAGTTCTTACTGCTGGAAGTGGGGTAGGTAACAGCTTCTCAAGTTCACACCCCCGATAACAGGTGGTCATTTAATGATGGCCAGTGATGAGACTGTCTACTTACCACCAGATTCCAGAGCAAAGTCCACCATCCCAGTCTTGTCCTGGGAATACAACTTCAAAGCGTTGTTCACAATAACATGCGCTTGCTGGACAAGGTAAAACAGAAGAGACTCAGGTTTAATGACACAGAGGAAGCCTGGGTGCTCATATTCAGAGCATATTTTTAATGAGGTCCACGCGGGGGATGACAGGCATGGGGTATCTCAGCAACTCCATGCTCAGACAGAGATGGGAGGGCACAAGCGCCTCTCCACCCAGGGCTCAGCCAGTCACAGTAAATCTTGGAACCAAAGGAGCCCCCTGGGTGCCGTAAAACATGAATTAGACTTTGGGACTGGACTATGGGAAATCTGGGTTTACTGGGAAATCTGTATGCAGTATCAAAAGGTACCTGCTGCCACACAGAGGTAGACAGGATCTCTGGGACAGAAAGACTCAGAGTGATACAGTACTCACAAGCAGCAGCTGAACGACGTCACCCACAGCTGAGACTCACTGAGCGGCCACCTGCCCTGAACTCAGCACCATGCTGAGCACACCCTGCATCACCTTACGCCACTGAACTCCATTCTTAGAAGACATCACAGTCTGCTAGCTTAATAACCAGGTAACCCACCTCAGCACGACATGGGCATCAAGCATCCCTCAGTGCTGACTCACCGCTTCTGTTATTCCAGAAACCCCCGCCTCATTCACAGCAGACATGACAGTCTCTGAAGTGGGCATCTGTTTTGTCACAGAAATGTGGTGGGTGATGTTCTTCAGTATCTTCAGCTCTAAATCTTGTAATAAAATCTGCAAGTCATCTTTCCTTACAAATTGAGAAGAAAACTTTTGTAGCAGCCATTCAAGAGAATCATCTTGCTGATCTTCAGAAAATATGAGTTTGAGAGTTTCTCTGACTTGCGCATCTACCTGGTAATATAATTAGTAAATATAACATGAATTTACCCAAATCATTTCAATTCTTCACATACATTATTTTAGCTACCTTGGAAGTATCACACATCCTCTCAAAATGTATAATGTAAGTGTGACACCATTTTCCTTCATATTAAATTTAAGAACCCCTCTAAAAATGTTGGAATATATTAAAGAGAATAGGAATAGACAAAAGCACGGTATCAATGAAATTTATACCCATGTAACTAAAGAGAGAGTTATGTCCACATTGCGCAGCCAGCGTGCTCCCACGTGGCAGGCATCCACTGCGCGCTGCACAGGTTAGCAGGAGATGCACGAAAGAGCCCCTTGCTTTCAGCAAACTTGGTCTCACAAGAAATCAGGCATATAAAGAAACCTAAGTGTAACTTTATGTATGCTAAATATGTCCATGTGTCTTATTTCTGTGCACATATATCATTCTGTATACACATTTCTATTTTTGCTTTGTAAGGAATGGAGTATGCTGGAAGCACAACCTTCTGTGATAGCCACAGGCAGTGCACTCACTCAGAACAGCTCCTCAGATGTGCCGGTGCTCAGCCCACGCTCCCAAGACAGTGCTCTGGCTGCCTTCTTGCCCTCACCCTGCCAACGCTAACTGCACTGCAATAAGCTCTTACAACCTCTGTGCTCGGCACTTTTGTTTCTGTAGGGTGATTTCCAGGAGTGTGGCTGCTGGTTTCAAAGCAGGTGGGTATCTGTAATTGTTAGTGTCACGAGGTTTTCCCCAAAGGCTGTGGGTGTTCACAGTCCCACTAGCCACAAGAAAGCCCACTGCCCCCAGTCAGCGCTGGCGCCAGTTGTCACTCCTGTGGATCTGCGAGCTTTAATCTGCAAATCCAATTAGTAAGACGCTTTATATGTCTCCACTATTTCTCTTCCTACCAATTCTAGGTGCTCTCTGCACATTAGAGAAAATCTTACCATTTGTGTTACAAATACTTTTTCTAATCAACTGCCTTCTGTCTTTTGCTATTCAAATGCTTGTGTTTTCATTCTTAAGCAGCTATGAATGTCCAGATTTTCTTCTCTACTGAAGGATGGACAGACCCAGGGCAAGTAGGTGATATGTCATGGCAGGAAAGAGAGCCCATGGCAGGTGCAGCATGAGGCTGCGTGGCTGCAGAGACACAAGACCCCACCCAGATCGGTGCGGGCACATGGCTGTGTGCACATGAAGAAGTATGGGAAGACACACACCAAGTATTAGCATCTTACGCTGCTGAATGGGGGAAATCTGAGCAGCAAATTTGAATTTGTTATTTTCAAATGTTTAGAAACTTCAAATATATAGTTTTTAAAAGTTTTTTTTTTTTGAGACAGAGTCTCACTTTGTTGCCCAGGCTAGAGTGAGTGCCATGGCGTCAGCCTAGCTCACAGCAACCTCAAACTCCTGGGCTCAAGCAATCCTGCTGCCTCAGCCTCCCAAGTAGCTGGGACAACAGGCATGCGCCACCATGCCCAGCTAAGTTTTTCTATATATATTAGTTGGCCAATTAATTTCTTTCTGTTTATAGTAGAGACGGGGTCTCGCTCTTGGCTCAGGCTGGTTTTGAACTCCTGACCTCGAGCAATCCACCAGCCTCAGCCTCCCAGAGTGCTAGGATTACAGGCGAGAGCCACTGCGCCCGGCTAGTTTTTAAAAGTTTTTAAAGGAAGTGAAATGAAACAAGGTAATAAACCTAAGTCATCAAACTCAACTTTTCTCACTTTCCATTACAAAACAAGAAGTAAACACAGAGGAAACGTACTTTTTCACGTGACACATCCACCTTCTCGCAGCTGGTCTTCTCATGCTGCCAACTCGACAGCTCTGACCGCAGGTGACCCAGCTCCAGCTCGAGACGCCTGACGGTGGACATGAGCTGCTGCTCGTCGGCCCCGCTGGAACTGGGCGATGAGCACACAAGAGTTACACACTGTGAGCCACCTGTGCTTAAACGCTCCCCCCACACACAAGTCAACGCTGTAAAGATACCAACCTGCACTGCGCTGACATGGATACCTAATGCCACCTGCAAATCAAAATCCCAGAGGGACACCCCATAGGTGCCTAATATACAAATACACATACCACCCACATAGGCTATCAGCAGTGGTTATCTTTTTAGTGACAGTTAAACAGTTTAGTATTTAAAATCTGTATCTATTTCCTTAAAATTATAAATAAAACTGCAGAAATGAGAATATTTATCAATAATCATTATAAAATTGAATCTAAATTTTCATGCTTATGGAATAATCACACTAAAAATATATGACTTCAGGGTTTGTTTTAATAATTCTATTTTATGTAGGTACTGTATAATATAAAATACTGTAATGTATTTACATTTGTTTATAGTAGATACAGTGGCTGAGATACTAACAATTCATCTCTTAAAAAAGTACGCTCCTGGATGAACACTTCAGGGGCTGCGCACTGGCATACCAGAACAACTTTTAGCTGAAACAGAGGCCCTGGGAGGAAGAAGAATGCTCTTACAGCCCTCTTCACAGGGGCACAGGGTCTCAGGTCATGACATGGGATCTGCAGAAACACCCAGGAGCAAAGCACAGAAAGACACTCTACCAAGTTAAAGCTCCTCTGTGCAGTGCCCTGTGTCTAGCCATGGCAATTATTGGAATCACCAAAAAAGTACATTTAGACAATGGGATAAGGGGTGTGGAAAGAGCTTGCTCTGGGATAAAATTAAAATTATGGAAAAAAAAAAGATGCAGCTCTGGGAATAACAATGAAAGGGAAGCACTACACTTCAAAGGGGCTGCAGGCTAACCGACAGGCATGCAAGTGAAGTGGTCTGGCAGTGAGGAGCCAGACACCAGCTCCCCAGGAGACTACAGAGGGACCAGGCTGAATGCTCGGCAGAGAAACGCCTCAGCGGAGGCATAAGAGGTGCTGACGTCAATGGCAGAAAGGCTGCCAGCTGTCTGGGAGAGCTGCCTGCTGATGGGCCTGGCTGGAACGTGCTTTCCAGAGGCAGGGGTCCTACCTAGGGAAGGGCTGCAGGGCAGGAGGGATGACGGCTGAGCTCTAACTCAGGTCCACCTCAATGCCAACAGAACCAGCAGAGGCCCAGCCTGGAGTCCACTGTGACACGAGCTCCAAGCCTGGCCCTCCACACACACCCAGACGGGCACCCTTTGGGCGTGGGAACAACTGACAGTCTACGTGGAGGGGGGATGTGAAAGGCCCCTCAGGACTGCTCTATCCTCACGTGGCTCCAGAGGGGTCCCCAGAAGGACACACGACTGGGTATGTTTGAACCACAAAGATCAGGTACTTCATGTGACGCCAGGTGGGTGCCTGAACCAGCACCCTCATTATTATTGCTGCCGCTACAAATAACCAAAAGGAGAAACACAGAAGACAAAATAGTAAATTATTTGAAATTATCCTACCTAGTTGTTTTTAGCTTGGTCTGTTCTAATTCCTTCTGGATGGCCTAAAAAGTATGAGAAACAATCTATTTAAATTCACAGTTATATGCTGACTTCATAAAACCATATACTTGATTAAATCAAAATCATTGTTTTATCTGGACGTTACCCCTCTTAATTCAAAGTCCACACCTGCCAGGTGGCTCACAAGTGGGGGATGTGCATTTAATATTTCAAAGTAAACCTTTAAAAGACATCATGTGTACTCAAAGATGTTCCCATGGTTGCATCTCACAGGTATCACGTATACTCAGAGATGTTCCCATGTGTGCATCTCACAGGGATCACGTATACTCAGAGATGTTCCTGTGCACACATCTCACAGGGATCACGTGTACTCAGAGATGTTCCTGTGCACACATCTCACAGGGATCACGTATACTCAGAGATGTTCCTGTGCACACATCTCACAGGGATCACGTATACTCAGAGATGTTCCCATGTGTGCATCTCACAGGGATCACGTATACTCAGAGATGTTCCTGTGCACACATCTCACAGGGATCACGTATACTCAGAGATTTTCCTGTGCACACATCTCACAGGGATCACGTATACTCAGAGATGTTCCCATGTGTGCATCTCACAGGGATCACATATACTCAGAGATGTTCCTATGCACACATCTCATAGGGACAGCTTGATGAGTTTTTAAAATTCACAGCTCCTATAACCAGCACCCAGGCTGAGAGACAGAACACTGCCACTACCTCTGGAGAATGTATTTTAAATGTGGAAGGAAGGTTCAGGTCCTTTATTCTCCCTCTAAACACAATGTAATCTTGGTGAGGCTGTGTGATCCTGAGGAAAAGCAGGGGCCCTGGAACCAGGAATAGCTGGACTGGAATCCAGAGGCTGCCCCCTCATCCACAGCCCTGCTCTGACCTTCAAAAGACACATGGGGCTGGTGGGTCAGGCACACAGACTGAACATTAAAGCAAGAAAGCGAAATTGTCAGAGGAAAACGGAAAGAAACATTTCTTTCAGTTTTACCAAGGACAAAAGCAAATACCTTAAAAGCAGGCACATTAAATGGCTAAAGAACTTTAAAATATTAACTGTAATTGATTTTTCTTTTATTAAAAAATCACTTTGTTGGGGACTACAATTATAAGGTCAAGAATAAATACCTCAGATTTTTCTGTCAGTTTTCCAAGTATGTCTTCCAAGTTTGAGATACGAACTTCATGTTCTTGGTGGAACGTCATAAAGTCAGTCTTAGGAGAAAATGAATGAACAAATGATAAAGTTAAGCAACAAACAAAAATGTATAAAGTTTGGCAAGGTCATTTCTACACAGAATATTTAAGAATTGGAGATTATTTGGTCCCAACTTGGCACAGCACCCTTAAAGAAGTAATCACCTAGTGCTGTTCTTATCTTCATCTCTGACTTCAGAGACCTTGAACTAGTGTTAAAATGCACAAATAGCTTTTCTAGTTACATAAGAACATTAACAAAGAAGTCCTATAAACAACAGGCAACACTGTACACAGCAATTACTATTCATCCAACAATCCACTAATTAGTAACCTGCTATATTTAATGATTTAAAGTAAAATAACCATGGATTAAGATACATGATACACTTATTTTCCCCTTGATCATTGTGTATTCATATGAAATATTATGACATATAAACATTTATTAGAAATAAACCAACCCGAACATTTCCCCAGAACACTGGATGATACCACTGAGAACCAAGGCTTCCTTGGACAATTTAAGTGATGTGTTACCAAGCTGATGGGACAAGTGACAAGACCGACTAAGGGACCAACTTAGTGAAGAACAAAGTGTCTGCAACATAAGTTACCTGTTGAAAAACAGCAGTTTGTTTCTACCAATCAATTCTTAGGAAGATAAACTCATAGTAAGATTATTAGAAATACTCCTGGGGGCCGGGCGCGGTGGCTCACGCCTGTAATCCTAGCTCTCTGGGAGGCCGAGGCGGGCGGATTGCTCAAGGTCAGGAGTTCGAAACCAGCCTGAGCAAGAGCAAGACCCCGTCTCTACTATAAACAGAAAGAAATTAATTGGCCAACTAATATATATAGAAAAAATTAGCCGGGCATAGTGGTGCATGCCTGTAGTCCCAGCTACTTGGGAGGCTGAGGCAGCAGAATCGCTTGAGCCCAGGAGTTTGAGGTTGCTGTGAGCCAGGCTGACGCCATGGCACTCTAGT